TAGCTATACGTAATCGGTTACAGGGACCGATGTCGATTGTCGAATCGATTATTATGTAATCAATCACTCAATCTCGATTCATATCAACGCATTACTAATCGATTAGAAAAAGTATCGTAAAAGTTATATATTTGAACAAATTACTTAAAATCAAAAGGGAAATTGGTGGCCTAATGTCCGATTTGCATGACAAGCGGTTACCTTTGCCTAATTTATTTTATTTCCATTTTTACTCCTTGTGTTGGGCGGTGTGAGTTTAACTGTTATCCGTCAGCACGCGTCAGGATGTGGACGGTAATCGCCGAAGTAATTATTGGAAGCAAATGACTTATTTTTTTGTCTATTGACCCAGTTCACACGGTTATTTTTGTTTATAACGCTCATAAAATTTCGATATTTTTTATACCTATATAATTTAGTAAAAAATACGATAAACAGTATTTTTAGCTAGGAATAACGAGTTTTGATTGATTTTATTTGAAAAGCTCATATACATATTTATCTTAAAAAATATATTATATTATAAAATTGTAATGCTAAGTCTTTATTTTTTTAATGTTAAGATTGATGCAGGATAGTTAATTATTGTGATTTTATGTTTAAAATAAATTGTAATATGTTAGCTATAAATTTTATATTAAATTATGTACGTACTACGTACCATGTAATTTTTTTTTTCAGGACATTAACACACAACACCATCTAGTTCCATAGTAAGCTACGACGCTTGTATTATGGATACCAGATAGTTGATACATTATATAACTTTAAATACATACATATTATAAATATAAACACGCATGACTGGAATACAAACATTCATGCTCATTACACAAATGAATGCTCCCAGCGGGATTCGAACCCGCGACCGCTGGCGCAGCAAGTAGGTTCACTACAAAGTGAGCCAAACGTGTCGTCAAAATATGTATGATTATTATAAGGAGGAATTGGTACCTTTATATGGTCTTCATGTTATAAGAATCAAATAAAATCGGAATGCGTAGCACTACAATCTTGCCTACCAGGCTCTTTCGCGTTTTGCTAGGTTGGTCAGCAAGCCCTTAAACTTTTAACTTGGGTACTCTCCCTAATGCTGTTCTATAGTTGTCTGAAGTCTTCTTCGTAACGCCTTCCATTTATTTTCTCTGCATCATCCATCACCACCTGCGAAAGGTAACTTAACTTTCCATACAATATAGGTAAACTAATTAAACAATTTGCTTGGTCTAACAATTTGTCATATGGTAGACAAGGTGGTGTCCATTCTACATCTTTAAAAGGATATAATATTATAAAAAGTATAAAAAAGTAAAAAATAATTTAATATTTTCTTTTTAAGAATACCTACTCATGATAACAACTTTGAGACTTTATATTGACATCTGATTTAAAGTAATGTAATTATATACTTGGCTGATCTTACAATTAGACAACTAGGTACTCATCAAGAGCTTTTGACTAATTCAGAAATCACTAACTCATTTTACCAATAAATTTACTTCATTAATTATTAATATGAATAAACAAAACAATTAGCATATATTTTGGTATACTTGATAGTAAGATAAGTAAGTCTCTAATGAGAAAGTTGTTTTTTTTTTTCGTTATTTTGTTAATTTATACGTTTGCAAAACTTAGTAAAAGTAATATAATTATTGTATACTAGCGACTCACCCTCGCTTCGCTCGGGTTCGTCCCTAGGTTGATTCCCCATACAAACTTTCATCTCGATTTAAACACCTTAAGGGATGATTTCCAGGAAAAAAACGTCCTGTGTGCTTCTCAGGGTCTCAAACTATCTTCTTACCAAACATCTAAATCAGTTCAGAAGATCCAGAGTTTACCCCCTACAACCTCACAAACTTTACCTCTTTGTAATATTAGTATAGATTAGACGATTATTTTTTGAAATATATAAAATTTTTGTAACAATAAAGAGGAATCTTTTTAACAAAGATATAATATATCCAAACTAGCGACTCACCCTCGCTCAGCTATAATATATATCCGCTATATATAATAACTAAAATGTATTTGTATGTATGTATTCAGCCCTTTTTATCGTCCCACTGCTGGGCACGGGCCTCTTTTCAATACGAGGGGGATCAGGCCATTTTTTTTTTTATTTTTTTTTATAGTTGGGAAATCCTATTACAGATACCACCCGACTTCCCCCAGGGTGGTTATGTGGAGACTCTCCGGCTAATGAGACCGGCATACCCACTAAAACCCAACTTCCCCCCCCCTGCCGCCATGTGGGACGCCACGGGACCGCTTTCGCATACAACCGCGACGCCCCGACGGTTGGCCGAAGCCACCAACCATGAGGCCGCCCCAAGCGGGACGACCCCATTATGGGAAGACTTGCAACCCTAAGACGTGAGGCTGCTCCTAAGTCCACTCTGCTGAACAGAGAAGTACCCGGAGCAGCCCCACACGACCAAACACCGCCCACCGAAGTGGGCAACCTGCAAAAATAAGCGGCCTAAGCCTGAACCTTCCTACCCAAATTGGGCAAACCTCCAAGACGCCCGAAACCGAGCCCACCCCAAACGACTGCAGGAGTAGAGGATGCGACAACGCCGACACTCCCCTTCCCCTACAGCCCCACCGCGTCCACCATCAACGGTGGTGGCCCCGCTAGGCCGCGGGAGATAGGGACGAGCGGCGCATCGCCATACCGACTCTCCTCTTCCCCCGCGGCCCCCCTACCGTCGGCCCACTTCCGGACCAAAATGGCTGCCGACACCCACGCCAGACGCAGGACCACCGAACTGGCCCCGCTCCAGCCGCCGCACCGACGGGCTAGCCCCGGCAGCACGGCCCGCGCAGCGCCTCCTACCGCGAAACGGCCGGAGAGACCGCGCTACCTCCAAGAAGGAGACGGCGCCCTCCTGATGCCGTTCCCCCTTCCCCTCCTGGCTGTTGGTCCGCGCCGGATTGCTCCGTTACCACAAGCTCCTGTCGGGTCCAAACAGTCGCGAGTGGTGTTCCCCTATCCGCCACCCGGGGACGCGTCCGGTAGCAGTCAGCCTCTGCCCCGGAATCAGGCCATAGTCCACCAACCACGCTGGCCAAGTGCGGGTTGGCTGTAACTAAAATAAGTCACGTATTATATTACTTATTTGCTTAATTTTATTATTATTATATTCATACATACATAACGGTAAATTTATATTTAAAGAGTTACGCCAATTTTGAAATAAATCGAAAATAATATTGTCAAAACTAAAATTTCATATAACACGTATAGGAAAACAACGACTATACGTAGCAATATAAAGGCTATTTTCGTTTATTTCTAATACCAATGATTAGATTGCAAACAATTTGCTGAACAATAAAGGAATCGACTACCTGGCAGTACCTTCCTAGAACGCAGTAATAGTGAGCGCGGTAATCCTCTTCTAGGAAATGGCGATCGCAAAAGATAAATTTATAAATTTTAACTATGTCTAGGGTTGGCTAAAGGAATAATTACAAAACAGCAACTAGTTATGTTTTTACATATATATATATATATTTACATATGCACATGAATTTTACATAGACAGCAAGACACAGCGAAAAAATAACCTATGATTCCAAATCTTAAAATTATTTTACATGAATTGCCTTTGCTATTTGAACTGTATGTAATATAAAAAAAAACAATGTTACCCTTACAGATATTAAAACATTTCTTCCGTTAGACAGCACAGCCCTATTACACCTGGATAATATGCGATCACTAATCATCGTCGGGCGTCACAAAGTCTGCCGAAAGCTGAAGCCCGGAAGGATTATCTTTTTTGTGGATTACCCACAAAATTTTACCTGATTGGGGATCACTTCACGAAATGTTTGCTGTTTATCAACGTATTATTTATCTATGTAAAAGAATAAGAACAGGATTTGCAAATACAATTATTTTAAAACAATCGCCGTATCAGACAAATTAGTTTTTTTAACTAATCATAATATATTCTCATCTTATAATTATCTTACATATGTATATTCGAATATCTATGTTGAATGTTTATCTATTAAAATAATTCAGGTAGGTGTATTCATAGCTATGACTAAAACAGCCATCTTTAGAAATGACAAGTAAATAATAATGAAATATCTTATTAAAATAGCTACAAAAAACATTCCAGTATTGCCACAACATATATATTTAACCTTTGCCCATGAAGTTACTAGCTACAGCTGACTGAAGCGGCTGATTCAACAAACAGTTAATAAATAATTCTGTATCTTCACCATAATATAATCGTCATAATAGCATTTTCTGTAACCATATGTATATTTCAACGATTCTAGGAATTAGGTTTTACCTTATATTTATATATTAAAAGCATGCAAAATCTGAATAGTTATAAATAGGTTTCTAATGATAGTACAAAAAGGGGTCGTCTATGTTACTATTTAGACCCCGATCCTATAAAAATACCTGGAATATCTAAAGGTATGACAAGATAGCAACCAATTACCGCACTCGCGGTGTTTATCCGAGCTCACTCATCTTAGCGCTCAATTCACACCATCATCTCACAAGTGTCGGAGGATGGTCCTGTTGTTTTTTGGACTATACCTTAATTTAAGAGCGGTGTCTAAAAAACATAGTAATCAATAACAAAAATGTCGAATGTCGTATTTATTTCCTTACTAACATAACAAAGCAGAAATTGCGCGTGTTGGATTTTACCTCTTTTCACAGCGAAGTGAAGCGATAGATCGATGTGATGTGTCATATAAGATGTACCGACATGTTTATGGGTCGGGGTGTGTGTTTATCCTGGTACTTCACATACAATAATTTGCGAAAAGTTTGTAAAACGTCAATTTTATAAAAATATTTTTTTAAGTATTAAACTTAAATATTCTTTATCCTTCGGATGTCAAACTTCATTCGCGCATCAGTTGTGGATAACAAAATGTAAATAATGGTAACATGGGCATATCACTTACTTATTTTGAGTTACTTTTAAACTTTATCGCTCAAATCTTCTCACTTATTCAAGAATAACACCAAGCTTGTCGTTTTGTTGGCTATCGGGCGATGTCGAACGTCGGCTTGCATCAAAGCCGTCGCCCCACGACCGCTGCGCCTGCGCCGGTGACTCGGCGTTTTGCGTCGAGTGCGCTGTAAAATTTTTCCTTGTGCCTTCGGGTTTAATCTTACGTTTTTTATTATAATCAAGAGCTACAAAATAGAAATCATAACAATAATTTTTATACAAGCAAACGACACACAATTTGATGACTAAACTTAAAAAAGTCCTATACCTATCGATTTTAAAAATCCAGCTCATATTATACAGTTTAATTATAATAAATTTAAAAAAAATGATTTGTTAAGTCTTACTTTGTATTTCTTTTAAAGAATTTTCCTACAAATAATAATCGTATATTTGCACATGTTGTGTAGGTAAGTAAATTGATTTATTTACAAATTCTCCATCAGTATTATTTAGAAGGTATAAAATAGATTCAAAAATAATAATTTAGTTTAAAAAAACGTTGAAAGTTTAAGTAAGTGTATTATAGACTTTAAACTATTTCATTTCCTTGCGATTGCATTACTATCAATTAAATTGCATTCATCGCGAGTTGAGTCCCGATCCACATACCTGGTCTCAATTACATCCGTCCGGATATCCCAAGATAATAATTGAGGACTTCCTACCGTTACGCCCAAACTTAATCTTATAAAAACCTATAATCCCGAAGAAAAGTTCTGAACGGGTTACTGGAGTGTTGGTTTCCGCTCATTTTTTTTGATAAGTACCTAGAAGAAAATATTACTGGATTCTTATGTTTTAACTTTTAATTCTAACACTGACTGTGCAATCTAAATAATTGTAATTAATAGTTTGAAAACTGTCACTAAATATAAGTTACCATTTAACAGTATCGCAGCATCCATATAGGTACATATCCATTTTAAATCTTACATAATACCTACAATTATTATTAGAGGAAACACTTATAAATGTTATATTATATGTTCCAATTTATATATTTACTTTTAAGTTAGTATGTATAATATCCGCCATTTTGGTCCAAAGTGTGCACGTGCAAACGGTGTAGACTTTCTAGTAACCTAACCCCGCCTTACGGTCTCACGCAAAAAACCGAAACTAAACACCGACGGGGGGTGTGCGAGCCGCTAGATGGAGGGGATAAGGCACGTATGTACATATATAGAAAAGCTATGTATTTGTCTTTGTTAAGCAAAAATCATATTTATAATTAAAACATCTGCTGGCTTAATTGCAATTAAAATTTAGCCAGCCGTTGCAGATGTTAAGATTGAAAAACTAGACGAGAATTTATAGAAATTTTTAAATAAATAGACTATTTATAGATCTTTTTTTTATTCTTGTGGTAAATGTTGTGGTCATTGTATGCAAGTTAAATTTATCGAGTGTAAGTATAAATATATATAATTGCTGGTGGCTTTAGCCACCACCACGCTAATGTGTCATCGATTAGTCTACACTTCAAATATTTACCACATAATCAATACGCTAATAGTCTCCATATAATAGAAGAAAAAATATATTCGCAACTATTGATACAACAATATCGTACTTATAAAACCTATCCAGTCTAGTCTGATCCCCGCGTGTATACGACTACCAACAAAAGTCTTCTACAGAAGGGTAAATGAACTAAAACGCTAAAGGTCTTGATAAAAAGGTTGAATTATAAAGAGCTATCGTGAATTGTACACTTGTAAACTTGCTTTGTTAAGCGGCGCCTGCTATTATGGACTGACAATACAACTTGTAAGAAATGTTTTTTAGAAATCCTCCATTCATGAAACTGTTAGATGCGTTTTGTGGCAAAAGTCTTGATAATAATATAACCTGTTGTGATTCATGAATGAATTTATTAAATGGATGACAATAAGTGTGTAGATTTTAGATACAGCTTGAAAAGAACCATTATTTGACAATTTTTACGCACGTTTGTAAACACTTTACTCATATTATTTATACTAAACAAAGATTGTACACACATAAAATACAAAAGCTATTTATTACACCTTTATTATTTTTACTTAATTTACTTCTACCATACCTAGTTCATAGTTGTTTTAGTTTTGTATAATCTAAATACTATATAACTCACCTATCTTCTAAGTTAACCTATGTTATTAAATAGATATAAATAGATGCCCCACTTATGTTATCTGCCTATAGTAAATTATATATAAACCAAAATTAATTTTAGGTTTCAGATATTTAAATAACAAGAGCTTTAAACGATCACATTAAGATGCTCATATCAATATTACCTAGTAATATAAAAATTGGTAAGTGAGTAAGCTTGTTTGTTTCTTTTCCAAGTCGTATCTAACGAATTTGAACGAAATTAATTTAATTAGTAATTACGTATATACCTACCTACTACGCAAACGAAGCCGCTGCTAAAATTTCAGTATTTTTATATTTTACATTATAATCAAAATATACCAATCTAGTATAAATATTTTAAGTAAAGTTTTTTATAACAAAATATACAGTCATTGCTAGATAATAAAACATAACATGGCATTTACAGTCGAAAATGTTGTTATAATGTAACCAAACTTAGCAACTAAAAGCTATCCTAAGCAAAAACATCGAAGTTCTAGAAACTACTACTAAAATTAAACAAAATATTCGAGACGTGTACATAAATACGACACTTCACATACCCATAGCATGTACCAAGCTGTACATAATGCGTGTGCACGCATGCGCGGTAAGGAAGCTGCGCGTGAGATCCGCGCCGCAGCTGCGGCGGCCAGGTGTGCGCACCCCTCCCCGGCCCGCGGTACTCTCGCGCACGTTTGCTGTGATTTATGTTATAGAAGCTTTGATTTTTACGATTATTATTTAACGTGTAAGAATTCTCACAACACAAATAATTTAACACTAAAATACTGCACAACTAATGTTGTTACCAGCTACAGACCTATTTTTGTTTCTTATATACTACCTAATTGTGCTTAGACAAGGAAAAATAAAGAATCAATATAGAAAAAAGTATATTAATACGCTATGCAGGTAAAATTTTTTTTATTGATATATCTTCACATCAGCAATTCAATAATTACATAATATTTAAAATTCATTATCTCAATATATTTCCAAAGACATGATTAACATAAAACTAAAAATATTTCAGTAAGTACAAGACACATGAGTTCCCGACTGTACCTCACTACCCTAACTAAATCTGTGAATGCTTGCGCAAACCCGCTTCCATGACATAAACAGTCCGTCAAGTATGGTATTTATTCGGCTCACCGTACGTGCATAGTAACTTCGTACTTCATGGCTAAACCCTCATGGGGCTCCGGTCCCCGAGTAATTATCCTTCATGTTTTTATATCTGATTTTTAGTGTATTATTATTTACGGTTTTGGTCTCAACCATATTGATATTAAACAATTTAATCTAAAGAGATTTTGATATTGTTCACTTGATCGGGTAATATTAATCAATTAAGAAATTCTACTAATATAAATGACAATGAATGTGTTTGTCGTTTTGCTGTTCCATTACGCAGCGACAGAACGACATAATAATTAAAAAAAAAGTTGAAATTAAAAAAAAAGTCCTAATAATATAAGTATATTATATATCTAAATATTCTTTGTTTTCATTAAAACTTTTATAAAAACAATATCTTTCTACCCTCTTAAATTTTTGAATAAATATATTTCAAGATAAAAAATGATCATAATCATAAACTATTATTGTTCAAGCTAGAATCAGCTAGTATAGTAAAATCATAGATTTATACAGAAAATCTGTAGCTGCACACTACAAAAACACGTCTAAAACTGTTACAATACCGCACATGCACTGTAATTTGAAAGGTGGTGTATAGAAAGCTCCACAAAGGATACGCATTAATTGCATTTCCATCTACACATGATATTTTCTAAAACGTTTTTACATCTACTGCCCTCGTTGTAGATAACGCGTTCAAATCGACCCAGTCTCATCAAACGGTGACAATATTCGCAGTAATCACTTTCTGCGTGATTTCGTGTCAGCAAACAAACAATAAGTTAAAGAAATTACTTTTCAACAATTCTAGTACGTAATTTGATTTTCATCGGACTATATGTATCAGTCATCAGTCAGGCAGTGATAGCCCAGTGGTAACGCGCTTGGGAAACCGAGTGAAGCGGGTTCAAATTCCGGTTCGCGCACTGATATTTTCATGTGCGAATCATTTCTAACACGATTACCGCTTGCCTTATGGTGAAGGAAAACATCGTGAGGAAACCTGTATGCGTTAGAGAACTTAGCAAGTTTTCGAAAGACGTGTGAAGTCCACCAACCCGCACTTGGCCACCGTGGTGGACTATGGCCTGATCCCCCTCGTATTGAAGGGAGACCCGTGTCCAGCAGTGGGACGCTAAAAAGGGCTGAATACACACATAAATATAACATATATGAAATTAGAGTGTATTATGTGTGTCATTACACAGCTTCCTCATACCTCATGTGGTAATTTTCAAGATATCAAAATTTATATAACTAGTTATATATGCCATTAAAAGCATTCTTGTCAATTTGTTTGTACGTAATAATTTAAGGAACTCCTGAATTGATTTTAACTGGTTCGCTAGCGCATGGGGGATTCAGACGAGAATAAAGTAATTTATTTTTTATAGGCGTATAACGTGAGCGGAGTAGCGGTTTAAACCTAGTGATTAATAGTTTTGATGCCTATTTTTAATGTGTTTTTGACTCTATAAGAATCGTAACCTACAAAAACCTCTATAATAATTTTATTTCAAAAAATCCTTCTTAGCTGTACCTTGGATGTGAGAATGAGCTGTCAAAAAACAAAGATTCCAACTAATTGTAAACCTCCTTTTTGGAAGTCGGTTCAACATTTAGAACGCTACATATATGACGACTTGGCCTGGACGATAATGAATCACTCAGGACTGCAATTTTATATATGTATTTTGTACATACGAAATATGAATAAAAACATTAATAAAGTAATTTCGAAAGTGTGGTAAGTAAGAAATTTCCTAATTCGATAAGCGATTAAGAACGTGCGAGTTGGCCACACACGCTTATATTTCTTTTCGAATATTAGCCTTCCTTCTCTTTACGATATTCAATTTAATAGTAACGATTTTTTGTAGACAGAAAAAAAGCTTCCTACCATATTTTATCCTAAACATCATGACATCCTATGACAACAAGTTTCATTAATCCCTCCACGACCGCCGGACACGCCGGCGTTACAGTTAACAATAGATTTCTTAGAAATTTAATTAATTTCTTAGAAATTTACCTGGAGGTGTTAAAAATAATTAAAATTAAATCTATGATTGATTCTTTAACTCATAATAAAAATAATGCAGAAGCTACATGTACAGATGGGTACTATAAAAAGGATAAAAATAAGAAAACTTCATTAAACACTACGTTTATTCCGATATATCGCAGCATATAAAGGTCTTAGAGAGTATAGCACACGGAGACGCGGGCGCACGGCGATTTGTCGCATTTCACGCCATACCAGCAGATCACGGCGCGGGGTCACGTAGTAATGTCACGCGGACTTTCGACCAGACACGATAGTCCGCTAATATAGATCTTGGCCTATAAGATGCGTGAGAGTAAATAACAGTACTTTTACTTAGTCTTACTTTACAACATAGAACAACGGAGTTACATACTCCATAACCTATATATGTAGACTACTCCGTACTCCCTCCTTTGTCCATTTGCTTCATCTGTTTGTCAAGGATATAATGGTAAAAATACTTATAGCCATACTTTAGGCCATATTTTATTAGGTAACATAATGCGCTATGCTTGTGAACGTAAATATGTTTAATATAAAATATTTTTGATCCGGTAAGTACAACAAATTAGTTTATCTATACTTACTAATATTATAAAGAGGTAAAGTTTGTGAATTGTGAGTTTGTGACGTTGTAGGGGATAATCTCTGGATCTACTTATTCTATTTAAATGAAATTTGGTAAAAAGATAGTTTGAGATCCTGGGAAGGACATAGGATACGTTTTATCCCGGAAATCATGCCTTAAAGGGGTGAAAATGGGGATGAAAGTTTGTATGGGGAATCAACCTAGGGGCGAACCCGAACGAAGTGAGGTTGAATCGCTAGTATACTAAATAATAGAAACCTGCCTGCCTGTCTGAGAGAGCCTAACCTTCGCCAGCATGGTGAACTTGCTTGTTTGTAATCGATATTTACGAAATAGATATATATTATTTTAGAAATAATAATTTTCAACCTACAGCATCACTTAGGAACGAATGGGAATCTTGAAAATATTTTTCATTAACTTGTAAATATTTGTTACTAAAAAAAGGAAATGAAACTTTTGTAACTACTTCCGTTCAAAGAAAATCACGTGTAAACGTTACCAAATAAACAACCAAAACCAAGTTTTTCAATGCTTAGCATTGGAAAATCATTTAAGTTTCAATTGAATGTAAGCATTTGAATTACGTTAATCGCTGACACTAGAAACAATATTAGTCCAAATATAATTTAGATACTATACTAACAGTGTAAATCGAAAATTTGTACATGCAAACAGGCAGCGTGACTGTTGCACGATTTCCAGTACCTTTGAACTGTTACCGCTATTTCAAAATATACTGCTCTATTTATTTCACACAACTAAAAACATAAATCTACCAATAACCATATATACTAGCATCCGACCAACCTAGTGATTCCGTTTTCCACAGCTGAGTGAGAACGCGCCTGACTTCCTTCCGGAGCCGCGCCCGCGCAGCTTCCGCAACCACCAGACCGGCGCGATCAATGCCTAACATGTGAGTACATTTTTTAAATATTTTATATACGACATGATAATGATATATATACATAGTTTAAGCTGTAATTTTAATTAAAATAACCATATTTCATGAATACATAATTTAGAGACCTCAAGACAATTACACTATAGTAATGAGATATTACTATTATACAATAGTAAAATCTCATTATTACTTATACTTTACAGAAATACTTTTTTTAATTGTAATATAAAAAACCCCAACGATTTGGTTATTCATTGACATTTAAAGCAGGCATAGGTGCTAGTTTTGACCAAAGAACGATATTGATAATTTCAGTAAACATAGACAATATGTAGAACCCTTAGAAAACATCTGATAACGTCAAATACTTATTTTTCCATTGCGATAGCTTCTTTTTTCAATTTTAATTATTCTATAACAATATTTTAACTCTCAGTTATTAGGTAATAAGTATGTCTTTTGAATCGTTAAAAACCCATGTTTCTAAAGTCTCTCTCTCTCTCCCATGTTTGCTGTAAAGCAAATGAAATCTACCATTAAAAAAATCCAAAAAATATTCCTGACATACATTGCTTCTCAGGTCGTATTATTAGGTTTGCTTTATTATTATTATATATTTTTTATGATTTATATTATATAACGAATATTATGAGATGTCGAATGTTTGCCCATTAGCTAGTTTGCCTTGATACTTCCGACGTAGGAAGACAATGTTCTGACGTCATCACGTAATTCTAAATGACAATATATGAGCGCGCTCTTCCATTAGGTATAATTAAAATACTTAGAGCTAGGCAACATTAAAGTTGTACCTCAAATTTTAAATTTTAAATAAAACTATTTTCGGATTTTGTCGCGGATCTATTTTGACAGAAGATGAGAGAGGACAGTCTCTCTCGTTACCATGATAGTTGTAATCCATCAAAATCCAAGTATACACAATATCTCATATATTAGCGTAAATCTAAGATAGTCTTATTATAGATAGATACTCGTATTTACATCGAAGGTTTTTCCGAATGTTTGTGTGCTCAGGGACCATAAGAAGGCAAATTCTACATCTCTTGTAATCAAATGTGTAAATTTTACATCTGTCTGCTAGTTTGATCCTCTTAGTAGATTTTAATAATTGATTGAGCATTATAGATTTTGTACTAATAATAATATTATTTTAAGAGAACAGGAAACTTTTTTTTCACCGGTAATATGGTTACAGAGTTAGAGAAATTTTCCATATAAAGTAGAAGTCGCGAAAGTGTACACACGAGTAATTATTAAATATTATATGTATGTATAACATCGATAGGATAAATTATTTATTATTCCGAAGGCTTCTAAAATTAGTACCATATTCTGAGATATTTACAAAAACGATGTTTATCAGCAAGCGACTTCAGTATTTTTCAGTATTTATGATAGAAGAAGAATGACAAAAAATCATCTAATCATTTTAAACAAATGTAGTTGCATCGCAAGTTTATTACCTGCCTAGTTTTACAATGTTTACTAATCATTGAAGCACTAGTAAAAGATCTCAATATTAGCTGAAAGTATTCAGTATATAATATAATAGATGCGGAGACGTTGATAAACGATGTAATTGGAATTAGTCGTATCAAACAGCCGTTATAGAAAGTGCGATTAGATTTTATTCATAGAGGTCACTTGCACGTACTGGATATACAACATACACGGTACGTAGATAGATTATAATTATTTCTTTCCAAGAACGTTGTAGGAAATCAACAAACACAAAACACTGTTAATTCGCAACAGCAATAACGATTAGGTACTCTTTATTCGTGGTGGCAAAAATGCACTTAATCAAGAATGAATTTCAAAAACAATTTCCACGTCTAGCCTTATCTCGGATTGACAGAAAATAGATTGGCACAAATGCAAAGACACGAACCATCCCGTTATTTTCTATTCGCATGTTTGTGATAGCACGTGATGGTTGGCAGCTATCAATACTTTTTTTTTTAAATATTAACTTCTTTAAGTGGACTTTTCTGGCTTTACTCATTCTATCAATAAGCAAGGAGGTATTGAGATTTATTTAAAACTCAATTCTAGATGTTTATGAATTAAAAAGATGTATGTAGGTAATTATAGAGCATAACATTCAAGCCAATGGGAACTTGAATGATATCATCAGGATATTGATGCGTAGAAAATCCTATTTAATATACATTTCTCCATATCATATTTTCCCACAGTATATATAGTATCCTAAATGTTGACCCAAATACATAGCTATCATCATACCAAATTTCATGAAAATCTATCCAGTGATTTGCTCGTGATGCGTTCCCAGGCAGACAGACAAAAATTCTAAAAACTATAGATTAGGCCTCTCTATCGATAATAATGACTATTTTAATAAGATTTTCCAAAAAATATTTAATGTACGGATTCGGCTAGGTTAGAATTTTATTATATGTATAGATTATTATCTGTATAGATATGTCGTGCGAAAATGACATTGTCGTGTGATGATTGAATTACCAAAATAACATATTTTTTTTAATATGTAAATATCTAGGTAGTAAGGAGGTACCTATTAGTCTTCCTTGGAGAGATATATCATAAGTATTCTACTACATATATATCTCTTAGTAGTATTGAGCTATGCTTTATTTATTGCATTTTATATAAAACTAGCGGACCCACAGACGTTGTCTTGTCTACACGTCTTTAATTTGAAAATTTCAAACTTTTTTAATAATTTTTTTGATGAAAATTATTATTCAAATTGTGAATCTAAACCATTCCCAGATCCCCTTGAACACACACAAAAAATTTCATCAAAATCGGTCCAGTCGTTTGAGAGAAGTTCAGTGACATACACACTCACAGAAGAATTATATATGTAAAGATTTGCTATAAATTATTTTGTTCTTTAAAAACGTCTCATATGGTTTAATTTAAATAAGGTTGACTTTTTCCTTTTACGTTTTGATTACAGTGTCCTATTGCTTAAGACTATAAAGGGTCAGTGGCTAGTAAGAGGATAGATCAGCTGGTAGCTCACATAGCACGCGCAGCCGCATCCTGCGAGATGAGACGCGCCTTCCTGCACTACGCGGTTGCACGCGCCGTTGAGCGCGACCGAGGATTCGGGGTCATTTTGGCCACATGGTCAAGTGACTTGATCGTTTTAAATATACATATTTTATACACAATATCACATATCGAGTGATGACAAAATTTATGACACGTGTGTCGTGTATATTCAATACCTATACGTGTATACATATATACTACGCCATTACATTTATATACAAATTTATTATTTATATAATTAAGCACTTATCCAATAAAAGATGAATAATAACACTATTTTGTTTACTGTATTTTTTCCTTACTAGCAGAACCCGCGGCTTCGTTCGTGCTAAACCAAACACTTCGCTAAACAAACTTTCATCCCCTATTTTACCCTCTTAGGGGTTGAATTTTGGAAAACACTAAAATGCGTAAGTCATTATTTTTGCCGTACTCAATTTATACGAAATTTTATGCAAATATGTCCAAGGAATAAAAAGTTTCATACAAACTTTTATCCCCTATTTCACCTACCATAGATTTGAATTTTGAAAAATCCTTCCTTAGTGGATGATTCCTTAATGGAATCCTTCGTCATATGAGGAAACTTGTGCGAAATTTCAATTTTCTAGCCTTAAGGGCTTAGTCTGTGCGTTTATACATCAGTCAATTACTTTTGCCTTTTATATATATATATATATATATATATATATATATATATATATATATATATATATATACACATATATATATATATATAGATGACGGTACTAAACTAATTTTTTATTTATTAGTTTTATAGAGATAGTAACATAAATAAATTATTATTTTAGATACAGCTGATGAAAGAATTTACATAGGTATAATATCTTAGTTTTTTATTAAAAGCCAATATAAAATGATTACGACAAGCATAAATATTATGTGTCCTATACCTCAATTGCCTGGAGTTCCCCAACCGGAGCACATCGGTATAACATTACGCGCAGCGGCCGGACATCGCGCGCCCACTGTGCAATCTCGTTCTCATTTGTTAATTATGCCTACGGACTACAATAAAGTATCAACTCAGCATCACTACAATAGAAACTACTTAAATAAAAATTGTCACATTACTTTTACATTTATGAAGTTTCATACAAATAATCAATCGTTTATATATACTTCAAAGGTGGTATCAGTAATTTGGCCAATATTATTATGAAGTTTGAATTTGTCACCGTTACAAATCTAAGTACCTACCTATAATTTAGATCTAAATTTATTTTATGTAAAATAGGTCACAAGAATATTTTTACTACTACTCTATTTTTGTTTTATACTATATCTATAAATTAATGCGATTTTTTGCAGAGTCAGTGAGAGTAAAGGGGTGGAAATGCAATACTATGTCGAATAGTTAAAAAGTAAGCAAAACGAGGGACAAATCATTAGTGTTTATAATAAATTTAAGACTTACACATCTAATCGGTACATATTTTTGTACAACTCGTTCTCTAGTAATTCTACTAATATAATAAATACGTCATTTGTGAGGATATATGGATGTGTGGATGTACACATGTAGAACTAGTGAATGGATATTAAAGAAACTTTACAATGATGCTCATACATCAGAATAATACGTAGGCTACTTTTTATCCCGGAAAAATGTACGGTTCCCGTGGGATAGATTTGTTATTGTTTTTTGTAATAGTTTGTCTTTAAGAAACATATTACCTTGACTGCGTTTATGATATTATGAATCTTTGATGACAATCATACACCGCATATGAATAAATTAAAAAAATACTTAAATGACTTTTACACAAAATGTTTCGTTGAATACTTATACCTTTATGTATAAATATCACATGAAATTTATTTATTAACAGAACAACTTTTGTTACGTCTATGATGACTCTGTCGTTGAAGTCTTCAGTATGGAACATTTAAAATGTCACGAATTTCATGTAAAAAAATTTCAT